GCAATTCAAACAATTCAAAAAAAAAAACATGAGCTGCCTGCTGATGCCCCATGCATTCGGATTTATGACTGTACTGTTTGAGTTGGACTAGAAACGAATTTCCAACATGGCAGGTGTATACAAATCTCCAGCCACTCTTTTCTACATAACATAAATCAAAGAAATTAATAAAATTAGAATTAGAGCCATAAACATCAGCACATGGGAGATAAAAAATGATTTTAGTATCATTTAGAATTAGAGCCATAAAATATTTTTTTCTTGTGAGTAAATAAAGACATACATTAATACAAAAAGTGTTTGGTCCCAGTCGACCTTTTTAGTATGAGCCGACCCTATGCAACAAATGAACAGAAGTCCATCAGATACTTGATCTTGGTCTAAAACATACGAAAAAACTGGCCCAATACCTCGTAAGACATCAGACAAATATGATATAAATGAACAAAAATGTTTTCTAATAAAGAACGAATTAGCGGCATGGGTGTTACCCTTTAAAAAGAGACAAAATGCGAAAAACTAGTTACAATTTTTTATAATATGCTATAATAAACATATAATAGTTGACTTTTTGGGAAAATGAAGTTTTCTAAGAAGAAATGAATTAGTCGCATTGGTATTACCCTTGAAGAAGAAACAAAATGAAATATAAAACTAAAACAAATTTGGGAAAAAGAGGCAGGTGTGGTTAAGTTTTTTACTTGCCCGATCCCAATCACAAAAGAATTTCAAAATTTGCACATAATTTGCAAAAAAATTGTGTATTTTATAATATGCAATGTTAAGCACATAATAGTGGGGTTTTCAAAAGAAAAAAATGTCCTATGGAAGAATGAATTAGTGGCATTGTTATTGCCCTTAAAAGGGAAAAATGAAGAATAAACTAAAACAAAATCTAGTTTCATAAGAAAGAATGAATTAGTGGCATTTGTATTACCCTTTAAGAAGAAAAGAAAAAAGACTAAAACAAATTCAAAGTAATGAAATTTTCTAAGAATGACTGAATTAGTGACCTTGGTATTACCCTGACAAAATTTGCACATAATTTACACAGAAATTGCTCTTTTTATAATGTGCATGTATAACTATATAATAATGAAATTGTAGCATAAAAATGTTTCCTGAGAAGGAATGAATTAGTGGCATTGGTGTTACTCTTAAAGAAAAAAAATATTAACTAAAAGGTCAAAATAATAAAGAATTGTGAGAAACAATGAATTAGTGTGATTTGTATTACCCTTTTAAGAAGAAAAAAGAATGAAAATAAATCTAAATCAAACAATGAAAAATTTACATAAAAATCTTTTTCTCGTAATATTCAAGAATAAACATAAAAAGTGAGATTTTCGCAAAAAAAATAGTTTTGCAAGAAGTATTGAGTTAGTGGAACTGGTATTACACATAAAAAACTAAAACTAAATCAAAATAATGAAGTTTTCTAAGAAATAGTGAATTAGTGACTTTCATATTACCCTTTAAGAAAATATTAGTAAAAAATTATAACAACATCAAAATAAGTCTAAGGAAATTAATTATTGGCATTAGTGTTACCCTTTAAGAAGAAATAGAAAATAGTAATAAAAAATATGCACACAATATACACACAATATACACAAAAAATACGCCTTTAAAAATTATACATGAATTAGCATATGATAGTGGCATTGGTGTTACCTTTAAAGAAGAAGAAAATCGAAATAAGAACTTATACAAAATTAAAAATAATGAAATTTTACATTGTTATTGCCCTTTAATAACAAAATAAAATAAATATAAAAAACTTGCATACAACTTTGCATTGAAAGTGCATTTTTGTAGTATGAAAAGAATAATCATATAATAGTGCAATTTTAATAATTTTTTATAGTATTTGTGTGTACACATATACACTCACCCAACATCTAAAAAATATCCACAAAAGGAAAAACACATAAGAACAAAAAAAACTGAGCAAAAAACAAAGGAAGAGGGGGAAGGGCTAGGTCGTAAATAGAGGCTCGTCAATTTTTCCCAACCCAAAAAGACACAAGATACAACAGGGAAAAAATGAGCATGAATCTTGAAGCACCAATCAAAGGTCAAAAAATTGACTAGCCCAAATTGAATTTGGAGGCAACTTACGTGTAGCTAAAGTGTAAAAAATAAGTTTTTTTTTAAACAGGGGCATCATCTCATTAAAAAGGAAAGTAGAATTGCCTAGTTAATTGTGAAAAACTAGGCGAAGACTGCTACACGCGAAGGGGCACCACCAACCGATGTGACTATCAATAAAAAACCACACACGCCGTCGAGGGAGGAGAACCACCGAATTTGACTACAAGTGTCACCGTCATCATAGCTCCGCAAGCGAATGACTTCGCAACAAACCCCACCGGTTTAGCCCTCTTCACGAAGCCCGCATCGACCTATGCCAAACAGTCGGCCACCAGGAGCAACGATGAGATATATCTGATTTTGGTGATGACCATATTTAGAAGAAATATGCCAAGCTCACACCAACTAAGGCATCCTCGAAGACCATCGAACAACCATCATCTTCACTGTCTAGGCCCTCCGAGGCAACTCTGACGATGTTATCTCCCACCGGGTAGGCCCATGGTGACACAAAACCCAACAAAGTGAAGGAAATATGCCCTAGAGGCAATAATAAAGTTATTATTTATTTCCTTATATCATGATAAATGTTTATTATTCATGCTAGAATTGTATTAACCGGAAACATAATACATGTGTGAATACATAGACAAACAGAGTGTCACTAGTATGCCTCTACTTGACTAGCTCGTTAATCGAAGATGGTTATGTTTCCTAACCATAGACATGAGTTGTCATTTGATCAACGGGATCACATCATTAGGAGAATGATGTGATTGACTTGACCCATTCCGTTAGCATAGCACCCGATCGTTTAGTATATTGCTATTGCTTTCTTCATGACTTATACATGTTCCTATGACTATGAGATTATGCAACTCCCGTTTACCGAAGGAACACTTTGTGTGCTACCAAACGTCACAACGTAACTGGGTGATTATAAAGGTGCTCTACAGGTGTCTCCGAAAGTACATGTTGGGTTGGCGTATTTCGAGATTAGGATTTGTCACTTCGATTGCCGGAGAGGTATCTCTGGGCCCTCTCGGTAATGCACATCACTTAAGCCTTGCAAGCATTGCAACTAATGAGTTAGTTGCGAGATGATGTATTACGGAACGAGTAAAGAGACTTGCCGGTAACGAGATTGAACTAGGTATTGAGATACCG